TAAGATTATTTAAATAAGCTCATTAGAATATTTTGTCCGAGCTTATAAAGCTGCGCCGACTGCTCTCGTTGTCTCACTCTCTCGTTCTAATTAATAATGAAAAAGAGAATTTATATCTCTTGCCTGCTAATTGTACAAAGGAGTGTGATATTTGTACAAGAAACCTAAGACTAGAATAGGAAAGAGACATAAATTAAAAGCTAAAAATCTGTCTATTTACATCTTAAATTTCTGCCTATAGAATCAATGTTATTAACACCATATCAATGCTATTAATGTCATTGATTCCTTTCCTATAATCACGTTAACATCCCCCCTCAAGTTAACACCATATCAATCCTGTAATCACGTTAACATTGTTATTAACAGTATTTTGAATCAGGTTTAATACTCGCTATTAGAAGGGAAACTCGTCTACATCGACTTCCATAGACCAAGCTCAAAGAATACAAGTTTATTGATGGCAAGCCTAAAGATAACCCGCCCCATCACCGTCCAACTCTGTTCTCACATCCAACCCCAACAAGCCATTAATTGCCTCTGAGGAAATTGACCCCAACAGATATTATGGACAAACATGGCATGCTTGAACCATTATGAAAAAATTACTAGGAATAATGAATGCAAACGAACTACCCATCCTTGTCAAGAAGGAATATGACATTTGACATTTCTGTATTGATAGCTGTGCCCTTAATCAGAACAGTTCTCAACAGAATTTTATTTTCCATTGTCAATGAAATGCTAGATGAATTACACAGAGCAATAACTTTTTCAAAACCCAACCTCCACGCCAGCTACCATCAAATATGAAATGGCTCTGAATGAAATTCAGAGTACTAGATTCTGAACTTGTGATGGTCACTATGAGTTCACCATAATGCCATTTGGGCTCGCAAAAGCCCACTTGACCTTTCAAAGCAACATGTATCAGATTCTTAAATCATTTTTTGTGAAAATTTATCATTCCTTTTGGTGTAAAACAAAACTTTACGGGATCATTTCATCCAGTAACACAAGTATTTAACTTCCGACAGTGGGATCAGCTATACGCTTTTTGTCGTTCAACATAGTCCTTCGATCAAGCACCAGTCAAAGCATTAACATTTTTCTTGGTTAGGTGGTTATTAACAAGAAATTGAGGTAGCCAACGGAGGGTTGGAACTTACCTCCACTGCTATATCATGAATAATCCTAAGAATTGGCTAAACTTCTTCCATGGGCTTTGTTTTTCTACCACAAATTCTTGCACTCATCATTATGGCATGACTCCTTTTCAAGCCAATGAAGTTCTTGAAATAACCACCACAGCCACAGTACGACGTACCCAAGCCTGTTAAGAGTAGAATTAACTATGCAGCATCAATCTGTTTAAAAAATCATCAAATGCATACTATTTTAAAATTTTCAAATTAAAACATAATATATTTTATACATTTAATTATTATTTTATTTTGCATCGTAATCTTCATGTCACCATATAGTTTTAACTATAATTACTGGCTTAAGTTCAATGTATGTGAATGAAATAGTAGAGAGTGAGGGAAGGACAGAGATGAGCAAAGCTGCATGAAATCCAACATTTCAGGAGATATGGTTTGTATCGCCAATTTGACTAGGATTCCATCCATTAGCTTCTACCATTCTCAGCTTAGCATACTTGCACTCGCCGGGAAACATATGATTTCCAAGAAGCCCAGAATCAAGATCAAGAGGTGCAACAGTATATATATGTGTGTGTGTGTGTGTGTGTACAAGTAAATTATATAACTATCATTCTTCTGTTTTGATGGTGCGCTCTCAAAAGAAAAGTAAATTATTTTTCTTGGCTGAACTTATGAAAAATGCAGAGCAAAAATGTACCCACTTTCCTCTTTAGCCTATGGTAGAAGTCCGCCATTCATTTCTTTTAATCCATCTTATAACATACAATAACAGCCAGAGATCCCTGGTACAATTGTCTCAATGCTCAAAATTTTAAATTATTTTCCTCTCTGACAAATAAGCAGCATAAAATATATTTCAACAGTATTTCTGTATCATTACCATTTTCAATTTTATTTTACTTTTCTTTCTCACAACCAATCACTGTTATATAAGTGGCATTTCCTAGGTTGAATTTTTTCACATTAATCAATCAACTATATACTCTTTGGGATCTATTTTTGGTAAAGCCTTGCAATGTAATGCTGCTACTACTCATCTTTTAAGGCAATCAATGGCAAAGAACAAGATAGAAATATACATTAAATTTTTTTATTTAAAAGAAATATGGATAGACACCTTGTGATTACTGATAGAAATTCGAATTTGAATGCATAACCTAATATTGCCTTTCTCAAAGATCTTTGACCACAATTATTTTGCCGGCTTCAAGGTCCATCCAGATTTAATAAAAGGATCAAGACCAAGGTATACACTAAAATAGTCCAATGATTCATAATCTTATAGTAGTTGCTTCTACTCCAACTATGGACTCCTCATAATCAGAGTCCAATTGGAAGCTAAAAGTATTGCGCATGCCCCTAGTAGTTCTGATGTTATATTATGTACACCTCTTAAAAATAATATATTGGATATTAATCATCTTTATCTCGAAGTTCCTCATCTTACTCATGTTGGTGAAGGCTTCAGTGACGATGATTCACGACATGCTCTTGATTCTAATGGGAGCTTTGTGATGACACATTGATGGACAAACAAAAATAAAATTATCGCTGCCCTCCTGTTTTTGCCAAAGCTCAAGATAGGTGGTCCAAATGAGGGGTTTTCAAACTCTAATGGTTACTTATGCTCCATGTTATGTTTATTTATTCCTATGTATTTTAATTTTTTCTTTGACAATTCTTTCATAATTTATTTAAAAAATTGCACAAAAAAAGTATCATTAGCACCCAGCTAAAAGAAATTCAAAATTTTGCAGTAGTCCATCAAAAGCAATACATGGTTGACTGTTAAGCTAGTAATGTGAATCTGATCATGTCTTTACTTTTATTGACAATCGACTGTCAAGTTCTGTGCATCAAATTGTATCCGACATGGAATAATAGTTCCATAACATATTTTCTTTCTCGTAACATACAACAATCATGACAATTAATTTAGTTAGTTTAAACAAAAAAGAGAGATTTTGCTCATCATAAAGTTAAATTCTTTGGATAATATTTGAACATAAATTCTATCATATTTGTAACCTTGCCTTTCCCCTTAAGATTGAGCATTGGATGAATAGCATTGTTCCTGATCACAATTACATTTCTTCTAGTCAATTTGGACTTCAAATTAGATGCAATAAACAAATAGTTAAAAAAAACTGAGAGATTTTGCTCATCATAAAGTTAAATTCTACAATATTTGAAATGCATTTCAGTCATTCATTTCCTCACTCTCACTTCCCCAGCATTTAATAACAAGCAAACACAGGACAAATAGCTCCAGAGATAAAAATATATTTGAAGTACGTGATAATAATTCTATGACACGCATGCTTGAAAGTGAGCATGGTAAACAATGTTAAGTATAGGTAAAGAAAGCAACGAGACTAGCTGCAGTTTTCATTCACAATAGACCTCCATTGAGTGGTAGACGCAGCATGTTAATGATAGTCAAGTGGAGTATTGTTGAAAATAAAACAATAAGATAAAACAATAAATTGTCCCTATTTTACTCATATCTGCTCAGTTGGAATTCTTTGAAAACTTGTCAAGTCCAAAATGCAATTCTTGAAGGTTCACACCATTATTCACCCTTGTCACTTCCATTTTATAAATCTGATAAAAGAGTTGAAAGAAGAGACATGATGAGGATGGTTTTGGTAAGAATCAATACAAATAATTATTTAGTTTTTGAACAAATTCACTACAATTAAAAAAACTTTCCGTGAAAGGTGTGTGGCTTTGCATTACTATATCAAAAAAGTACAAAACTATGAATGTATGCATCTATAATGTACAAAAAAGAGGTCTATCATCTACAAGTATGGTAGACAACTCCCTATCATCCTCTACATGCATCAAAACAAAGGACACACTTAGGGCTCGCATAGCACAAAAATGAGCGGCCCTATCATGATCTCTGGGTATAAAAGAAGAAAGCTTTCTGAATGCATCATCTTTGTAGCATCATTGAAATAATCTAAATACAAATCAATTTGCTTGGATGTTCAAAAGGAACAAATCAATTTGTTTGGATGTTCAAAAGGGTGTTATCATTTAACTATCTATCCAAAAGGTGAAAAAGACCTAGATAATCCTCCTACTCAATGTGGGATATTTTAGAAACAACCAATGCAAAAAACTCGAAATAGTCCATAGACTAATTAAATGTGACCAAAATAATATAACATCTAAATTAATAACGATATTAAAAATATGGGCAACCTTGGAAAAATATTTGTTGATTTTTATAGTAAATATAATTTCATACTAACCTTATTTGTCATGTACAATAGTATTTCAAATACAATAGAAATAGATTGATTCAAGTAGGGGTGCAAGTTAATTTTATAGTAATTAAAAATTTTAACAAAAAAATTATTGTGGTTATTTTATTTCACGAAATATATTAATTTTAATTTTTTTGTCACAAGAACATCAATATAATAAAATATCAAACAAAATTATTTATTATTAAAAATGAATTTGTTCTAAATTTGTTGACCTCCATATTAAACTAATTCCCGCTCCATAATAAAAGTATTAATTTGTGGAAAAAGTTAAGAAAAATCTACGTTACCAATAGCTTGGAAATATTTCATGTAAAATTCTAACATATAAAAAATTTGTAAATACTGGCATTCAAACTAGATTTTATATTTACTCTAAGATTAAGCTGAAAAATCAACTTAGTCAAATACTTGATATATCAATTTATCGATGAGCATTAGAGATAATAGAGAATCAATGGTTTTCAAGATTTATGTCAATGATATTTTGATGAGTTGATTTGATATGATAAGCAATCTCAGAAGACAACATTTTTAATAGTTTTTTGTGTGTCGCATTTAAGGATTCTCCTTATTCTATTTATGTAGTATAACCCTGTAGAGGCATTGCTTAGGTCAATTTGATCTTTTAGAGGTGATCGATTACTCCATTGTCATCTACCTTCCGTGGAAGAATTTTCTTTGGTCTTTCAAATAAAGAGGCAGTATTTATATCAAAACTTCTATAAAATTCTATGAAGTAATTTAATGCTACTAAAAAGCTTTTTAATTAATTTTTATAGAGAATTATGTTTGAAAACTTGTTGGCAAATTTAATATTTTGGTTAATAGGAATGATAGAAGCATTAGAAAAGATGTCTTCAAAACATTGTTTCGATTTGAAATATTTTTATTTTAGGGTTGGGATGGTAAATTTATTCTTCTGGATTAACCATTTAAAAGCATGTAAATAGCTAAAATGCTTATAATTGAGATTAAAAAATATTAAAACAGATTTGATATATATAATGATGCATTTGAAATAAGGATTGAATATATCATTCATGAAGACTTGAAATTCAGATTTGGTATTTTTTAGTACGGATGGCATAAAATTTCCTTCGTAATGTCCAAATAAAAAAGTAAAAATTGTTTTATAACAATCTTTTTCCTTCATCTACATTTGCCTATATATAACATTTAAATCAATTTTAGAAAATACAACTACATTATATAAATAAATAAGTAAATACCTCTTAACAAAGATATCTTATCCATTTTATGACTTTATTTAATGATTTATAATTTATAACTAGAAGCCATTATTCACTTTCCTTTTCTAGTGTATTCATAACATAAACTATCAAACAACTCCATGGAGGGTAGAAATTCTAATTATTTTGTTTAATAAAAATTCACTTACCTCATTTTTGCAAAGTACTAGATAGTGTTCATTCATTTGACAAAGTCTAGTTTTTATTGATTTTTCTAGCCGAATTCAAATATGGAAAAAATTATGAATCTTTCAATTTCAGGAGGTTCGGATTATCACCGTAGATTGTTTTTCAAATCGCAAACAATTTAGAAATTTTTTTCTTACAATTTGGAATAATTAGCATTTTCATAAATGGTTTTGAAACAAATTTTTTTTATAGAAATTTCCTTTTTAGGAAACCTGATATGCAAACAATTGTTTTCAATTTTGTTCATGCCATTTAATATCACCTTTTCAGAGTTAATGATAAAATCAAATATAATTAGCTTATTAAATGTTAAAAATAGATCCTATTTTCAAAAAAATATTGTTATAAGCATACGTTTCACAAGAAATGGGGTCCCAAAAGTCAAGTGCAGGGTTAGATTTTTTACTAACAAAAATGAAGTTGGCATAGAAATAACAACTTTTCAAAATGCTGCACATGTTAATTTATATTGAACTTGCATGCAATTACCACTAACAAAGGTTACTTTTTGTGTTTATTTTCAAATTTCAGAAGACTTTATCCTTCCTTGAATATAATTCATGGCAGCACCAATAGCAACTAGTGCAATTAGATTTGCCTGATGTATTATTTATTTAATAATTAATAGAGTAGAAATATATTATTAGTGTATTATTGTTTTTTGAAATGTACGAAGTCAATACAGTAATATTTTTAGTATAAATATTTTCTTCTTAAGGATCTATGGAAGGATTATTGAAGTAATCAATTCAATTTTTTGAAGTCAATAGCTCTGAGTTTTTTAAAAAAATAATCTTGGTAAGTCTTAACTAAAATGATTTCTTCTTCGAGATGATTTATTTCAATCATGCAACTAGCAATAGGTGTACTTAATAATTTTTATTGATTGGCAATACGATGATATACTTCTTTCATGCTACAAATGGGGGTATATAGTAAAGTTTTAATTGTTGGATTATTATTTAAAAGATCTAAAATTTTATTCTGAGTTTAAAAAACAAAATTGAGCTAAAATTTTAATGATTTGTTCTTTTGAATCCTCTATCAAGCTAAATACTCCTGACATCTTGAAAATGGATATGTAAAAATTTATTTGATCAAAATAGCTATAATAAAATTCGTTATCTAATGATTAAAAAGATGAGCTATAAATATTTGATTCTTCAAATTTAGAGGATTTGATATTTGTTCATAATTTTTATTAGGATTTATTTTAACCCTTCATTAATTTTAAACTCATCGAAATTTCTACTGATGGTACATTTGTTAGCATTATGACAAATGTGACCCCATTGATACACTTGATTTTCATAATTTCCGCTTGATGCGACCCTATCTTAATGGTTTTGAAGTTAAAAAGTGCTTAGGATGTGTATTTTCTTAGAATAGATTTCTTTTTTATATATTTTTTGAGGATTTTCTTCCTTTGTGAAACTTTTTGATAAGGGGTGCTTCAAAAGAGAATTGCCAGCAAAATGCTCCTACATATTTTCGAAGCAAATATATTTAAAGAATGTATTAATATTTCTATGATAAGCATGCTTGAAAGTAAGTAATAATATTATGAAACATGCTCCCATTATGATCAGATCCTCCATGATAAACACTATAAGTTTACGTAAAAGAAGCACTAAGGTTTGCTGCAGTTTTCATTTACAAGATACCTCAATAGGTCAACATTAAAGTAATTATAAGTTGTAGATTTGAGATGATGATACTCAGGTGGAGTATTGTCGAAAATAAAAACAAGATAAAATTTAAAAAATTGTACCTGTTTTGTTCATATCTGCTAATTTGGAATTCTTTGAAAACTTATCTAGTCCAGAATACAATTCTTGAAGATTCACTCCATTATCCACTAGTATGCTTGTAACTCCCATTTTAGAAACCTGATAGAGGGTAAAAATAGAAGACATGAGGCTGGTTTTGTCGTTTTGGTAAGAATTGATGCAAATTATTATTTAGTTCTTGGAAAATTCATGACAATTGAGACTGCTTTCCAAATGTATCATTTGCATAGTACGATTGAAATAAATTGAAATTCAAATTAGTTTGTTTGGATGTTAAAGGTTGTTACCCTTTAGCTATGTATCTTAAAAGAGAAGAAGATCAAGATGATCCCCTGACTATTTGTGAGGGATACTTCAGTACCAACTAATGTAAAATACATAAATTAGTCCGAAGACTCTTTAAACATGACCAGAATAATTATTTTTTCATTTTTATAAGAAATCTAATTTCCTACTTATCTTATTTGCACATGTATAATAGCTAACGTCAAATACAATAGAAAAAGCTTCAGTTGTGCAAGTTAAGTTTTTGTAATATTAAACATTGTGTAATATGTTACATCGATTTTATTGTGGGAAATATATTGAGTTTAAATATTTTTGTTATAGTGTAATCAATATAAAAAACATGCCGAACAAAATTCTTTTATAAAAATTAACTTGCTCTACAATTATTGATCTCCATATCAACCTCATGCTTGCTCCAAAATAAAATTATTTATTTGTGAAGAAAGTTACGAAAAATCTAAGTGACCAAAAAACAGAAAATATTTCATATGAACTTCTACCATATAGAAGATTGTTAAATACTTGCATTCAAAATTGACTTAATAATATTTACTTGGAGAATAAGTTGAAATTTAATCAAATATCTTAGAGACCATGGTGAATTAATATGATAATCTTCAGAAGTTATGGCAATCATATTTTGATGAGCTGATTTGAGGTGATAAGCAATCTCTGAAGACAAAATATATTTGATAGTCTTTTGTGATGTTGCATTAGAGGATTTTCTTTGTTCTATTTATGTTATATAACACTATAGAGGTATTCCTTTACGTCAAGTTGATCTTTTGGAGGTGAGCGATTACCACATCGTCATCTACCTCTTACGGAAGGAATTTCCTCCACAAACACTCTTGGAAGTAAGGGGCTCCATTGGAGCCTTTCCATTCCAGTTTATCCACCCCAAATGCTCCCCACAAAAATTCAAAAGTAAACTAAAAATCTAAAATAGTGTTAGTACAACTAATGATATATTATATTTTGAAATCAAATTTTTATAATTTAGCTTGCTAATTAGCAAAATTTTGTTTACAGGTTAAGTCTTAAGAATCTTTTTCCATAGAATTTGACAACATTACAGTCAATCCTTAATATAAATTTATTTATGAAAAAGATTATCTTAAAATTTAAATATGATTCTAACAATTGCTAATAAATCTATTTGGATGATTGAATAATTGAACTGACTGGAATTTCATTTCCCAAAAGTACATCGTAGTAATCCTTCTTTTTGAGAATTTCATTACTTAAAATGCTTCCATAATCTAAATCTATTTCGACTATATAAAACTATTAGGATTGATTAAGTTTAAGCAGGGTAAACCTTTTACTCTTTGTTTAACTTTTCAGCATTGCTATAAAGTACATCGTAGTAATCCTTCTTTTTGAGAATTTCATCACTTAAAATGCTTCCATAATCTAAATCTATTTCAACTATATAAAACTATTAGGATTGATTAAGTTTAAGCAGGGTAAACCTTTTACTCTTTGTTTAACTTTTCAGCATTGCTATAAATTTCTATCTAAGGGCGTGAAATTTTCTTTAGTCTAACAAATAAAAATGCAACATCTATATCAAAATTTTTATAATAATTTGTGAAGTAAATTCAATCTCTTAAAAATCTTTGCAATTAATTTTAATCTAGAATTACATTTGAAAATTTGTTAGCAAATTCAATGTTTCAGTTAATATGAATGATAGAAACATTAGTAAAAATTTCATTAAATTCTTGTTTTGGATTAAAATATTTAGGGGCTGATATGACGAATCCATTTTACTAAATTAACCATTTAAAAGTATTCTAATATCTAAAATGATCATCATTAAGATTAAAAAAATTAAAACATATTTAATATATGTATGTGTGCGCGCGCGTGTGTGTGTAGAGAAAGTATTGAACTTTTTTTAGTATAAATGTCATACATAGCATTTCTCCATAATGTCCAAATAGAATAATAAATATTGTTGTCTAAAAATTTTCTTCCTCGATCTAATTAAACTTTAAAAATATAACTGCATTTTATAACTGAATAAGTAGATTACCCTTATTAAAGAAAAAATATCTTATCTATTTTAGTTTTTTTATTTAATGGTCTATAGTCTATAATTTGACACGATTTTTACTTTCTTATCCTAAAGCATTAATAGCATAACATATCTCATAACTCCATAGAGGAGGAATTTTTAACTAATTTGCTCAATAAAAAGATTATTTATCTTATTTTTGCGAAGTGCTAAATAGTATTCACATTTGACAAAGTCTAACTTTTGTTGGTATATTTTCTAGCTGAATTTATCTTTTCTAAATAAGGGAAAACAATAAACTTTTCAATTTCATAAGACAATTGGATTATCGCCACATATTATTTTTTCAAATTCATCAAGAATTGTAGAAATATTTTCCTTACAACATTTTGATGTTTTATTGAATAATTTTGATAGTAATTTCTTATTTAAGAAAATTGATATGCATAACTTTCTTTAGAAATTTGTCCATTCCTCTTTGCGCTAGTGTTAAAATAAAATATAATTGGCGTATTAAATTTTGAAAATAGATTATGGTTTCATCAATTTTTGTTATAAGCATAATTTTCACAAAAAATGGGTTCCCAAAAATTAAGGGTTGGGTTAGATTTTTCACTAGCAAAACAAGAATTGATATCGATGTGATTATCTTTTCAAATTCGTCAACTGTAGAAATCTTTTCCTTACAATTTAGAATAAATGATGTTTTAATGAATAGTTTTCATAGTAATTTCTTATTTAAGAAAATTGGTTTGAATAATTTTTTTTTTGAATTTTGCTCGTTCTATTTAAAATCACTTCTTTGGAGCTAGTGATAAAATAAAATATAATTAACTTATTAAATTTTGAAAATAGATTCTAGTTTCATCAATTTTTTTTATAAGCATAATTTCCACAAGAAATGGGGACCCAAAGATTAAGGGTTGGGTTAGATTTTTTACCAGCAAAAATAGAGTTGATATTAATATTTTTAAACAGCAAGCTTAATAAGTAAAGAGATCGAGCTGGATGACGCTTGCATTGCTTCATTAAGACACACTTCGAAGAGCTAAAGTTAATTTACATGTATTTTTTTATATTTTTAAGTTTTAATTATTACAACAAACTATTCTAAATAATTCAAAATTTTAATTTGTAAGTTCACCCTCAATATTTACTTTCAAGTTAAGAATTGTATCATATTCGTTTCTATTTATATTAATTTTTAAGTCATATTTTATATTTTATGAATATATTTATACATTAATAATTTTACATCAAATATTAGCGTTTTGACTAATAAAAATATTGCTTCGTTATGTGTTTTGCGCTTTGAAGTAAAAAAAAAAAAACATCAATATTTACTTTCAAGTTAAGAATTGTATCACATTCGTTTCTATTTATATTAATTTTTAAGTCATACTTTATATTTTATGAATATATTTATACATTAATAATTTTACATAAAATATTAGCGTTTTGACTAATAAAAATATTGCTTCGTTATGTGTTTTGCGCTTTGAAGTAAAAAAAAAAAAAAAACCTTGCGCGTCGTATTGCACTTTGCACTTTGGTAACATTGATTAATAAACAAATATCATTTTTGTAAAATGTTGTAAATATTAATTTATATTGAATTTATGTGCAATTATCCCTACCAGAGATTGATTTTTGTGTTATTTTTTTAAGTTAAGAAGGTATTATTCCTACTTGAACAAGATTCATGGCAGCACCACTAGCAACTAGTACAATAAAATGTGATATATTGCCGTATTTATAAATTATTAATTGAATAGAAATATACTATTTGTGTAATATTTTTCTTTTGAAAAGGATGCAGTCGTTCACTTTAGGAGTATATTTTCAATATAGATATTCTTCTTAAGAATCTATGGAAGGAATATTAAAGTAATCAATCCAATTTTTTACCTCAATAGCTATGAGTTTTTATTTTTTTTTCTAATTCATCTTTGGTTAGTTTCCGAAAATGATTTCTTCTTTGAGATGAATTACTTCAGCCATGCAACTGGCAATAGTTGTACTTCATTCTATTTTTCGATTGGCAGTACAATTATATAATTATTTCATGCCATAAATAGGGGAGTTTATTATATTTTTAATAGTCGGTTTATTATTTAAAAAATCTAAGAGTTTATTCCTACTTTTAGAATAAAAAATTTGTGATAATACTTTAATGATTTGTTCTTTGAATCCCTTATCAAGCTAAATACTCCTAACACTTTGATAATGGATTTGCAAAAATTTATATTTTTTAGGAAAGAAATCATTTTGATATATTTTTAGAGAGTTTTATCTTCCTTTATAAATAATTTTTGAAAATGATGTTTCACTGGCGAATTGCAAACAAAATGATCCTAGTTATTTTTCTCTATAATTCTTTCTCGTTAAGCTAATTATTCAGCTTAATCTCAGAATATATATCAAGCCCAATTTGAATGCAAGTATTTAATGGTATTCCATACATTAGAATTTCAGAGAGAATATTGCTTGTCAATTTTTTGCAAAGAATTTTATAAATGTTTTCCACAAATAAGTTTGGAAGACCTATAAATTTTTGTTTCTAATGCAGTTGTCTAGCATCATAGAGAGTCGTAACTAGACTAAATAAAAATCTTTGTACCACCTGAAATCTGCAAAGGCAGGACATCTAAATTTTTAGAATAAAGGTCTAAATCTTTCTCCTTGATCAATTACCATCCCAATCAAATATTTTAGAATTGTTAGAATTAGGATGTATATTGCTTCGATATCTGAAAAATTAACATCTTAGAGTTTAATATCGCTAAAG